CTCCTTAACCTGGGAAAGTACCTGCATTTCAATATATCTAGGATCAGATTTCTTCTTTCTCAAGTCTTCTTTAAGCTGCTCATCTAAATCCGCATCTTGATCACTTTTTTCAAAGAGATATTCCACATCCTGATCAAGAAGTGTTTTCTCCAAGACTGGTCGCCGTTTTACAGGAGCTTTTTCAGCTTTTTCAGCACCTGGTTTCACTTTTGGAGGCTGTTCTGGAGTATGTCTGAAATGAGGGCAGGGAACAGAAACTTCAAAGATTATCCAACGTGTATCTGGCCTCTGAGGAAAGCGCAGGGAGCCGTGCCAAGCAAACCTTATATCTATTGCTGAGAAATTATGCTGACAAGCTATTTGACTCCTAACCTAAAGAGAACGTGACAAATGAATATGATTAAGTCTGAAAACCACCAGTTAACAAAGATTCTACAACAGTATTGAAGGTGTAATGTGTTCTTTACCTGTTGAGGAAGCTAACAAGGCCACAGAACACCTCAGAGAGCTGCCACCCAAAGCACTGTTGAAACTGCTGCTCCATAACTGCGTCTTTCAACCAGGGACTCACCTGCCCCACTCCAGCACATGAACATAACACACAGCTGCTCATTTCACTGATACTGTTTAAAGTCCTTTAAGACAAAGCGTTAAGACTGAGTCCTACCTCACAGAGACCACTAACTTCCCAATGCTGCACAACGTCAGAAAAAGGGAGCCTGACGCCAGCCTAGGAGCGTGCCCGAGGTGCGGGGCTCAGAAGCTCCGGCCACCTGCTGGGTGGGGGTCAATGGCAGGCAGGGCTTTGCGATCCTAAGAGAAAATCTGGAACTCTAAGCTCACAATCAACCCGGCGGAGCCCTTTACAGCAGCGCTCGCCGCCGGCCCCCTCAGGAGGACCGAACACATGGCAAAAACGGAAAGGACCTCCGAGCCCCCGACCTCACCCCGCTCTCCCCCTCTCCCCCTGCGTCCCACGGTGCCGCCAGGCAGCCCGAGGAGCGCCCGGCCGCTCGGCGTGCGGGCAGTTCTCCAGCAATCCGCCGTCCTCGCCGAAGAACGCCGCGAAATCCTTCCCGCCCGCCTCCTTACCCGTCCTCGTCCCCGGACCACCACGACATGGCTTCCTGCTCCTTCTCGGCCCTGGGCTGCACGGCGTTCAGCAGCTGCACGATCTGCTCCTCCCGCCGCTCGTCCATCCGCACCACGGCGCGCTGCGAGAAACGCGGCGGTCAGCGGTCAGCGCGCCCCGCCCGGCAGCGCGCGTTGCTCCCGGCCGCTCCGACGCCCCGCAGAACGCGCGGCCCACCTGCTGCCGGTCCGCCTCCTTGCTCTTCTGGCCCTGCTTCCGCGCGTACCACAGCCCGATCTCGCGGCCCTTGAGGTGGCTGGGATGGCGGCCCCGGCCCCCGCCGCGGCCCCCGTGCCCCCCACCACCGGAGGAGCCGCCATCGCCGCCGCGGCCCCGACCCCGGCCCCAGTCGCGGCGCTGCTCGTAGCTCATGGCCGCCGGCACCCAACGGCGGCACTGCCCGCCTCCTCCGCCGCCTCACTTCCGCCGGCCGCGGGCCCCGCCCCCACCGCGGTCCGCGGGTTCGAGTCCCGGCAGGGCCAGAAGCGCCCCCAGCGAGCCACCCTCGCTGCACGGCACGGCGCCGCCCCCCGGCGGGCAGCACCGCCCGCTTCTATGCAGCGGAAACGGATTGAAGTTGAGGGAGGGAAGATTAAGGTTGGATGTCAGAGGGAAGTTCTGCACTATGAGAGCGGAGAGATGGTGGAACAGCTGCCCAGAGGGGCTGTGATGCCCCGCCCATCCCTGGAGGTGTTCAGGGCCAGTTGGATGCGGCCCCGGGCAGCCTGGGCTGGTGTTAGATACAGAGGTTGGCAGCCTGCCTGCGGCAGGGGGTTGGAGCTTTATGATCCTTGAAGTCCCCTCCAGCCAAGCCACTGCATGATTCTACGATTCACACTGCTCTGCCACACTCCACAGCTCACGCTGCTCTGCAAGGCGTGCTCTCTGGGGTGCTAAATTAAACATTTTAATCTACATCAAACTATTCACAGAATTATTACTCCTTTAACAATAATTAGCGTTCCTTTTGGTGCCTCAAAACACCACTGTGGCACTACGAATGCTTCCCCAATCCCACCTCCTGCTTATTCTGTCCCTCCCAGCCTCCAGCCTGCCCCACAGAAGCTCTCAGAGCATCCGTGTAAGGAATGTGTGGGTTTGCTGCAGTGCTGTTGTTTCAGGTAGAAGGAAATGGCAGAGAAGCTCAGACAAGAATTCAAATTAACTAACGGGCGAGGAAGAGAGCAAGATATCTGAGTCGTCAGCACAGAGAGCAACAGAATTTTGGGTGAGGTTACCCAGAAGAAACGGGCTGAGTACAGAGCACACAGGCATGGGAGGGTATGAGGAAATCCATCTGAAAGGTAAATGAAAGGAAGGCACATGGGAAAGAGAAATCCAGCAGGGAATATTTGTCCTTACTTTCCCTCCTCTCGTGCCACACCTGAGCTGTAATGCAGACCTGAAGGTGCTCCATGCTTCCTCGCCTTCTCACTGCACAGCTGATAGCAATGTCACAGCTTTCTGCAGAACTGCTGGGGAGCAAAGAGAGCCAAGGAAAACCCAATAAATCATTGCAAATCCAAGAAATGTTACAAGATCCCTTCATGAAATGTGAGCAACGTGCCCATGCGAACCAAACATGGAAGAACATTACACATCCTTCCAAAGAGTTCTCCTATGTCATCTCTCTTTAAAATCATGGTGAGGCAAGGTGTGCATGGGCACTGGGGGCAGAAGCAATAGGCAGCAGTGCTCCTGTATCTTGGGAGTGACTGACCACCTTTACATCAGCCCAAACAAACAAATAACTTCTATGCAGTTTTATTCTACCCATAATGTAAGATGCGGACTGATGAATAAACTGTTGTGGAGAAATGGAACAGAGCCACAGGAAGGCTCTGGAAGCCAAATCTGGTACGAGGACACAGCAGCACAGCAGCTTTCAGTTGTTCCTCCATTAACTCTTCCCAAGAGGTATTCACCCTTCACTGCCCTTCAACAGCAGCGTGGGATGAGAATGAGACTACAAGGATCTACTTTGGTTCAAAACAGGTAACGGTGCCAGGAGATCTGAGCACCCCAGTAATGGAACGGAACTGCAGGCTATCTCAAACACAACATATATAATGCATAAGGCCATTACATTTAACTGATACTATAATCAAATTAAAAAGCAAGAATCATATTTAACTGAGTTCCTCATCACTTTGCAGGAGCACAACTTATGGGACATTAACAGATTTACTCTGCTGAAGTGTAACATGAATGGGATGTGCACAAATTGGATTTCAACGCCAGGGAAAACTGCCTTTCCTATGCGTGTAACTACTGCATTTCAGTCATGTCTTCTTAACACTGAGAAAAAAAAAAACCAAATTCTAAAGGAAACATCACAAATCCAAATATCTGCTTTAGATGTGTGGATTTACATGTTGGAAGGATAGCGTATCTATTTATTTAAAGCTCACTTTCTAATATACATGCCAAGATGCATTTCTTAAAATGCTCCCAGTATTTTGCCAATTACTGGGCCTTTTCAAATCCCTTTATCCACTGCCCACATTCATTTTTCATCCATTTCAGCAGCACACTATCAAGATGCAAAACACATGATTTCTTTATGCAGCAGCATTGTTCTCAGAGAGGTCAGAACACAGCGCTCTCCTTTCAGAAATCCAAAATGAGATTCATCCAAGTCAAATTCCTAATGATTCCCTAAGGTCCAATTCCTGACCAGAGCACAGAACTTGTCAGGTGAACACTGAGGTGAGCCACAGCCGGAGCGGCGCCACGCTACAGCTCTGACCCCACGGAGGAACCTTGCTGCTGCACAGCAGCACTGCAGCACGCAGGAGGGCCGCCTCTATGGAAAGATTTGTCTGGAAGGACTGAAGGTCTTTCACATCACCTTGTTTATAAAACAAACAAAAGCATTCAGCCTACAGGAGTGTATGGATAATGCAGCTGCTACTTGGGACTAGAAAAGCAGAATTTATTCTGCTCTGAGAGATCTGAATCTGCAAAATTCATGAGAGAAACACAGCAGTCAGAGCTTCACCTTGGAAATCATTATAGTGATACATACCAGGAAGTGGAATCGTGTTCCAGAATATATATATCAACCTCAAATCTATAAAGGTAAAACAGTGTGTAAGTAAAATTTAATTATTACTTCTTACGAAATAGCATGATGTTGTCAGTTGCATATTCCATCATGACCAGAATAAGAAATGTACCTTTCAGTACTGGGCCATACCTTCTACTTCAATTAGCCCTTCAACTGAGGCATTTGGGATTTGAAGCCTGGTTCTGCTTATTACATATTTGCTTTTCTTGTAACTCTATTGGCTTAACTTTCTTCTCAGTGCATGTATGTGCCACCAAAGGGAAACTCCAACGCACTGGATACACTGCTTACCTAAGATTATTTCAAAAATTCTTCTGAAGCTTCTTGTTTTCTACCCTTTGAATTACTCAACAGCCCAGCTCCTAAGAGCAGGGGGAGGGCAGGGGCTGATGCAGATCACATTTTCCGAGGGACTTCCTCAGTCAGTTGCTATGGTGTCTGAGCAGAGATGAGGTCTCTTTCAAGTCACCCTCAAACAGTCCTTGACAAACACTGCCCTCAAATGTCAAGCTGTCACTGAAATACATTAAAAGTTCAGGCAGGATAAACAGAGGAGGAAAGGAAGAAGCCTTTTTTTTTTCTTTTCTTAAAAGCTATTACAAAATAAGCACTTAAAAATGTAAATCTAAATACATTTCATAAAGTGATAAATGAAGACACTTTGAAAATTACCAAATACAGGAACCAGGAGTTTTCTCTTAGCTGTTATCTACTGAGTAATTACAACTTGGGCTTCCAGACACTTTAAAATGTTTAATGATGTGAGTCACTAAAATAAAATACAGACATTCAGACATTCATACATGATCAAATTTACAGACTCATTAAAGAAAACGTATTTACCACACCAGCAAGAATACATTCTAGAATTAGGTCGAGCTCAGGGTCACAGCTATGCAGATTTTTAATGCCTCCAAACCTGGACACAACCTAACTGTGCCTGTCAGAGAAAGTGACCAAACTGAGGCAGTGATGCACTGCATCCTCCCTCACAACCTTCTTCTGGATTGAGCACGTCTGTTGCTATAAAGCAACTTTCTGAGCTCATCCTACAAACACAAAACAAAGCAATACATCCAGGGACAGCAGAATGTCTCTGTGCTGCATGCACATGGATATAAACTATTCAATAGACTTAGCTCTGATTGCTCCATCTACTCTAGTTTCTTGTTAAATCTGAAGTGTAACACAGCATCGAGGGGTAATAAGAGCCTTGAGACAATCCTATGAGAACCTTTGTTTTCACCTTGGAAGAGCAGCACATGAAAAGCACATCTGGCACAGAGCGACCCATCCCCATCACAGCCGCCTGCAGTCTGTGACCCTGACTGTCCTGAGCTCCACATCACTGTCACACAGTGATCATGGCAGGCCTGTTTTGTGGTGGTGAAGTGAGAAGCAAATCGCCTGTTCTTTCCACATCTCCGTACTGAACACAAGCTGAGCTTGTTGGCCCTTTTGCTCTACCTGTTCACAGTCCATAAAGGAATGCTAAATAGGGCTGTTCTTACTTTTCTATGCTCACACTGAATGGATAACAGGGTGACTGCAAACACCTAAATTATTATGTTGTCACTCACTGAAAATTGAATCTATTAATTAAAGAAGTGGTGTAACTTTTAGTCAAACCTCTGAAAGCCCTGCTGAAGTCTATTTCTGTCTAGCTAAAATGAATGACAAAATCTCAGAAAACGAGCTCTCATCAAAAAGCATTAGACTTAAGGACTTCATTCACTGTTTTAGCATCGAATGTGACAAGAAACAGTGTATTCACAGGCTTTAGTTTGATTGGGCTCTAGGGCTTGCGATTGGACTCTAGGTTTCCTGTAAGGCAGCATAAGGATAGGCTCCTCCAGAAGGTGCTCCAGGGCAGAAAGCTAATGTGGGCAATCAGCCTCAAGCTGAGGTCAACAGGTAAGCCGGGTCTCTAAGTTTGGCCTTCTTGAACAGCCCTGTCCCCTTTCCTAAAAGATCAAGGAGGCAGAAAATGGCAGACTTTAGAGTAAGCAGCATAAAATCATCCAACATCTGACACACTCGATGAAAGAAATGTCAAGCCATGGGAACACATTTTCACAGCGTTGGTCTTGTAAGATGTGCATGCTAAAATTTCAGCCCCCCACATTCAAAGGTCTATACAATGGCCACTTACAGAGACATTACGTATCAATCACGTATGGAGCAGTGCAAAATTAAACCATGTAGGCCACATACAATCCCTAACCAAATGCATGGCTTAGTCTTAGGCTTGTGCTACATATTTTCAGTAAATGTTTCAAGTCTGGCACACCAGCAGGAGAACGGCAACAATCACTGAAACCTGTTACATCTTCATGGATGCAGAGCTGTTCTCTCATTTTCTGGCTTCCCAAAGACCACCCGATGCCAACAAGCATGCAAGGTTGTCTTTTAAGACTTTATTTAGGATTCCTTTCAGATGCAAGTCTTCCTCAAATAAAGAGATATGTAAATAAGTTGAACTTCATTACACAAAGCTGCAAAGCACTGAAGCATTTGTTTTCCCATTTGTAAATGTTAACTATTTAACAGTGCACCCAAATAAAAATAATTTATATGCTAGGAAAAAACAAACCCAAAAAAACAGTTGGCACTGCATTTGTTAGGGTAACTTGAGTCAAGAGGAGCAATGTCTCCTGAATCAGTTTAAATGTTTAGATTAAATGTCTTTTAATTGCTGTTGCCATCTTCTTCCCGTTTTCTGTACGCTTTATTCAACATCTGTATTTCTTCCTGATAACCACCTCTCTCCATGTGCTGCTTTTTACTGTTCTGCCGGTGAGCTTCCACCGTGTCTGGAATTGTTATGTTAATATCGCTGTCAGGATTGTTTGATGGTATGAAGAGTGAGTAGGAAGCAGTTTCCCCTAAATCACATGAGACAAATCTGTTTTCCTTCCGTGAATAGCGTAGGGATGGAGATCTTACCTGTGTGGAGGACTGGCTGATATTACTGATGATGGAAACAGTGTCCAGAGCCTCTTCATTGTCACAAATTTCCAGAACCTCTAAATGAATTTTAACACTGGTGTCAGCAAATGAATTAGGACACTCCTCTGGGTTGGGGTCATGACCAACGCTTTTAGATCGATACACTTCGATTTTCTTTGAGGTGGGTGTTATCTTTTGTCCTTCAGTGCTTACCTCGTAGGTAGACAAGGAGAGAGTTTTTCCTGTGGGTGCCTGAAGTGACACAGTTCCTTGAAATGCACACAGAGGAATAGCTAAGGCCCCACCTGATCGCTGAAAAGACAAAGAAGGACCATTACCTAGTGCTAACCTCAGAAGCTAGCATCTATTACAAATAACCAGTCACGCTCAGTTTGTTCACTTGTTTTACTGTGGTAGGCTTTTCCCTGCATTGTTTTAGGAAGCCGGTATTTAAGTTAGCTGTACAGTTTACTGAAGAATATAAAAAGTGTTCATCATCATGAGCTTCAGTATAAGGAGTGAAGTCTGAAGTGACTGTGGTCATTTACAGCTCATGGACTCCTTATGGTAACAGTCCAGCGTTAACATTTCATTGCAGCCAGTCCACAATGACACAGCCAGCATTAGCAGGCAGCTCTCTAGCCAGTAACAGCAGCGACCTCTTCAAGTGTCTTCACTTAATTTCTGCTTACTTCCAACTGACATGCTGATCTCCTGAGGCTCCATTCAATCAGCAAAGGAGAGAAATGGCAGCAGAGAACTTCACAACAACTGGACACCATGCTGACAGCACCTGTCTCCCTTGGGCACTTAACTGAATTGGGAGCCACCTAGCAACTGAGCTAAAATCCCTGAAACAGCTTTACAGATACCATTCAACAATTTTTTCATATGTATACTTATCATTTTTATGATGGAAATAAGTATAGTATCAATAGGAAATCTATAGTAGGAGTTTTCACCACGGTGGTGGTCAGAGGGTCTGTCCAGGTCTCACTCCCTCCCACGTTTCACACAAGTCCTAGACACCAATATGGATTTCTCTCTAGTACAAAGCTGAATTATCAGCAGAGAAATTTTCATACGCTTGAAGGTATAGAGATAAAATTTAGTTACAGCTCTGCAGTCCTAAAGATCACCCTCAAACAAAGAATTTCCAGCAGTTTCAATGAAAGAAGTTTCAAGAGGCTGTAAATAAATGAAGTCATTACACAAAGAAATCACCACGTGTGCCTACGTGGAGAACAGAAGCAGTCTGCTCCTGTGTGGACTGTGGTTGCTCACTCAGAGGCCAGCTGTTATGTGCTCCTGTTCACAGTGCTGCAGGACAGATCCTGCTCTCTTCCTCACCTTACAGACTGGCATTTCTAACTGTGGAGGTCAGCCATTCAGTGATGCATGTTGCAGAACAAACAGGCTCATCCTCACCTACTCTGCTACAACTGGGCTTTGACTGTTTACTGAGAGGTGCAAGGATTTGCATCCAAAACCAACTTCTTATCCACTAAAGAAATACAATTAAAACAAACCTCAGCTTTGCCAAAGGCACATTCCTTGGCAGGCAGTGGAAGCACTGGTCTGGGACAGGGGAGATCACATGGAAGGGCTGCACTGGTCAGACAGAAACATACAACAGAGACTGCTGAAACTGGGACAAGTGGCAGAAACTTCCCACCCAAGGCACTGAAAAGCTGCCAGCCACAAGGTGATTCACCCTCATCACACTTCTGCACTGTTCTTGCTATGATGCTTTCAGGGCTGCTTTTGTTAAATCTACCTCAGGTATCCCCAGATCACTGCTATGTGGAGTGCAAGTGTACTCCTTCGGTGCTGCAGTTCCCTCTCCAGCTGCAGTGCTTCCATGCTGCCTGGAGGAGCAGATCACCAAACAGAGGCCAAACTTCCTCCTCCTGTCCTTCCTCTCTATGCAGACACACACAGGGTCCCTCCTCAGCAGCACAGACCCTTCTGGAAGATTTGGGAATACAAAAAAATAGTACAGCAATCATGGGATAAAGTGAAAAAATAGCAAAGCATGACATGAGTGGAGCAACCAGAGGAAGACAAATGGTTGATTTATCAGGATGTGGAAGTCTGAAGCACTGAACAGTTTGGATAGCACTCATATTTCTTCCTGTACAGTGCAAGGGAGGGCTGAGATGAGACGGAGACAGCTGCCTAGGAGAGCAGGGATGTCTCTTTGTCTGTGGATGCTGGGACAGATCTACCTGCAAACAGAAGATAGCTCACAAAAACCCTACAAACAGGAGCAGTCTTCCCTTGTTTACAGGGAATCACTGAGCACACCCTTGGAAGCAGAAGCTCCAGTGTTGTCCTCTTGGTTTACTGACCTATCCTGTGCAAACAGTGTGAATACGAAGAAGGAAGAGGAGGAATAGGAAAAACAGGTCTAATACTGGCAGCAGGGAGGAGTGTGAGCACTGCTTAGGCGCTGAACAGAGCTCTTCCACTTGGAACAGTCCTGCTTATGTTTCCTTTCCAGTAATACTGAGAAAGCGAGTAGAGACATTTCAGGTACTGGAAAGGTGAAATTCTTCTTGGGGAGCTGGGAAAAGCAATTACTTGCTCATTATTAAAGGCAATGCTGCGATGAGACTTCCACAGAACAAGGCAGACCTTACAACCACACAGCTCCATCAAGTGACACATTACCTCACCTTCACTAAAGAGCATGAGAAGGAAAATAGGTTTCATTGCGTGCAAAAATCTTGCCAGACTGTGCCTTAACACGGTCCTTCGACAAAGAAATCTGGCTGACAAAATGCTAGCAGCTGGCTTGCCCTGCTGGAAGGAAATCAAAGTTGTATTAGTCTCCTCAACATATCTGTCAGACAGAAACGGTGCTCAAGTGTTCTTCTCATACGCAGTTCTGGAGACAACAGTTGTGCTGTGCATTGAGGCAGCAAAGAACCCAGACATGATTGTCAGCTCCAGCATCTCACTGCTAGCTCCCAGTCACTGGTGGGGTACTGGGGCTCCTGGAGAACAGCTCTGTTAAGGGCAGGCACCAGCAGCCCTTGTTTTAAAGGAATGGGGCACTTTTTAAAAGCACAGTGCTGTCACTTATGTTTTCTGTAGTAACCAGGATCACTCCTCCAGGAAATATGTAAGTGAAACTATTTTCTTCTCTGTTTTCTCTCTAGGAAGCTCTTGTCCACTCATCTTCCACCCCAGATGCTTTACTAATGCCACCAGAGGACAGAGCAGCAAATTCAGATCTGGATAAGATCAAGTGGGCAAAGCCTGCTAAGTGTTCTGAGCAGTGTTCACAGGGGTGCAAGTTCAGTTTCTCTGATAGTGCAACACACTGAGCACAGATAGAATAATTTGGTAACATGCATTTAAATGGTGTTTCCCTGGACACTGAGAGACTGCTGGGTACAAGCCCTGCAGCTCTGCTTCCAGCCCACCTCGCTTCAGCAATCAACACTGGAAGTCCTTGCAGGGTCAGTTAAGCGTGTCTGCATTTCTGGCAGTTAATCAAGCTCAGAGTCTGAAGGACTGTCTAAAAAAGCACTTACATTATGCAGAAAGACATCAAAAGAATATGAAAAAATAGGTTAAATAAGAACTGATTACTTTGCTGCAAGGTTACATTCTGCTATATAAAACACTACAGATTTGTCAGAGTGTATGTCAAGATGGAAGACCTGTCTTCATTTCTGGTAGTTCTGAAGGGTTCCTGGTCGGAAATGCTCAAATGTTTCAATTCAAAAAATCATGGTATTCCCCAATCAAAACATTCTGTAAGCCAGAACTGCCATCTCTATGCTGAAGCTGGCTTTAATTGAATCTCCTAAGATTTGCCCAGTCTCATGGAAGTTACAAACTAGCACTAAGTCCAAATTCTCCCTCTGGAGGATTGTTTTCTGCAGGTTTGCATCACAGAAACATCAAGGTGGTAATTTGTGAGCTTGTTTACTCTATTTCCCACGCATTTCAGCACTCAGGAGTGCTGCAGGATCTCCGAGGCTGTGACGCTCACCCCGAGCTCCCTGCCAACAGGAGCTGCCCTGCCTGGTGCTGCTCTGTGAGCTCACTCCCGCTGTGCCTGGTTGCAGGGCACACTCCTGTGCTGCTCCTGCTGGAGGTGGCCGCGGGCTGTTCTGTCTGCTGGAATCTGGGACAGAGCTCTCTCTGGAGGACTACGTGTACCAGCACATGCATTTTTCAACAAGCCAAGACCAAAAATTACAATGAGGTAAATCACAAATGTACTTGTTCCTTAAGGAGTGCCGATGCGTTCCGAACAGAGAAATCTCTACATAATTGATAAAGCAAATGCTTTCGTTATTAAATCAAATCATCCACCTCCCAGATTTCACAGAAGACAGAAAACAGTGGTTGCTACGAGGCAAACCTTCAGCAGCATCACTGCAGTTTCAGGCTGGGCTCTCCTCTCCCATCCTGGCTGATTCCAGCAGGTCCAGGTGAGCACCCTGACACAGGGGAGGTTTCAGCCTGCGCAGGGACAGAACCACATCTTACTGAGCTTAAACTCAGTGGTCCCAGTTTTTCAGTGCCTGGATTAAGTGTACACTTCCCAGGATTTCTTGTTAATATTTGTTCCATGAAGCAAATCCCTGCCAGAGCAGGCAAAGGAAAGCCTCACAGCTCCATTCTCCAGACGGTTATCAGTCAGTGTTTCCTTTCCTGTGACCAAAGGTGACTCTATTCCAGAATTAAGTTCTTAGCTAGGAAGCCCTTGCTAGCAATTGAAATCAAAAATAAATAAACTGTTCAGCAACTTACATGACCTGAGTGGTGGCTCCAGTCATCCACAGCCCAGTTTGATTTTAATGACAATAAGTTGCCACTGCATTACTGTCAAGGCCAGTGGAGAAGAAAGGTTAACGGGGGAAAGAAAGGAAGCGTGTTAACAGCCTGAAATTGCAACATGATCCAAGGGAAGCAGCACACCTGGAAGATACTCCAGTGCACCTAAGGTAAGAGCTCTCCTCTCTGACTATGTGAAAAGGACACATCCTCAAAACAGACACCCAACATTTGCTGTAGCTGCCCAGGCCTGGCTGCCTAGTGCTACGTGAGGTGCCTCAGAGCACCTGAGATGTGCTCAGGAAACTGCCAAGTGTAACACAGGGCTGGAGGGAGAGCTGCAGCTTCATACGGCAGCCGCTGGAGCACAAGGCAGTCGATGAACTCCTGCAGCCTCTCAGCTGCTTCAGTTGACTCCAGCGTAAGTTAGTTGGTAGATGTGCTAATCATTCCATGAGTCACAGGCACTAGAACACTAGGACAGGTGTACCATCAGCATTAGAGGGAGGCAGAGC